ATATATTCCAAATGACCAAATATGTGTCCTGAAGAACCGCATATATGTTCAAAAGGATTACATATATATCCCGAAGGACCACGTAGAACCCTCGACTCTTGGCATGCCAACTATATCCCTAGCTCTCATATCACATAACATGGGCATTATCTTTTTTGTCGTTTCACATATTCACATAGGCACGTAGTTCACTTACATGTAGAACATTCCCATATAATTTACATATCACATGGCTTATATCTTGTTCTTATGTCTTCTCATGTTCATATAGTCAATCATTTCATCACAAATACATGTACTCATATAACTCATTTCATTTCACATGTAGTCTCCTAACTTATCCTTGTATTGATCATATGACATTCTCCTAGCTCATAGTCATATATATCATATTACATATACTTGTATTCACATAGTTTATATTCTTATTCAAATAATCACATAGATCAATATTATTAAACTTATTTCACTTTTTCATGTTTTTACAAAAGCATATAATCTCATATGATCACTTAAATTATTATATATATATATATATATATATATATTTACTTATATATCTCCTATCATTTCTCATATAAGCACATATGTCCTGTTTAATAACATATATCATATATATATATATATAATAACTTATATCACATCATATAGTTTATGCTTCATTCTTTTATTTTCACATAGATCATGTAACCTATGTCATAACTTATATACATATATCACTCATATTATTTCATTTATATACTAATTTAATCTATTTATTTAGTTCAATTTCATATAGTTCCTATAACCTTCTCATATGGCTTCATAGATCTTTATCATATAACCCATATGTCATAATTTTTATTTAAGCACGTGAATATTCCCTATATAGTTTATCTTATATGTTCATATCATCACTTATGTTCAAGTCTCCTAGTTGATATATTATTCTCATATCATCCTATAGGTTAATCTTATTTAATTTATCCCACTTCTCATTTAATCATATAATTCTATTATACTAGTTCACATAAATGATCACATAACCATGTACCTACCCAACCCATTTTCCTATTGTTTATATAACTTTAACACATGCTTACCTATACAATAACATGTCAACACATATACTCATGTACACATATAAATCATAACAAACACATGCTTGTATTTATGAATTCATACACTTTAATATGGAAATAGACTCATCGCAAGTCTTATTTCCATAAAATTTCATATACCTAATAGTACGCACTCACCTGAGCCTCACTAGCCATTCATATACGTATAAACTCTTGTGCACTCTTATAACTTCAAACTGTCTTGGACTCGTCTTCGATCGATATCTACAAGATACATATAATCGATATGAATATCTTAATTCTAATAACTTATAACCAATCATCAATAATCTAAACTAAATGAAGTATCTAATTCACATTTCACTTTGAGTAGTATCGGTCCCAAAGTATGGTACTGATACTTCCCTATCTATGGTATCAATACCAAGCCTGAGTATCGATACCCTTTTTCGATTCTAGAATCCTTATTTCAAAATGGTACTGATACTTGCTTAATGGTATCGATACTCCCAATATCGATCCTACTCCTTTGGTATATATACTCTTTGAACAATTTATAAATTTTTGCCTTGTGGTATCGATACGCATTCAACCAGTATCGATACCCATACCCCAATTATCACTCATTTTCTCTTTAAAGTATCGGTACTGAATGAACAATACCGATACCCCTTGCCCAGAATTTATTTGTTTTACTCGAAAATTTACCAAACTTACTTAAATCTTCTACTAAAACCTCCTTTTAACCCTTTAAGCTTAACTACACTTATTCTAATCAACGTAGATCACTTTAATTCATCCTAATATCCAATATCCCATATACACACTTGAATTCAATAATCAAGCCAATAAATCAACATGTTCCAAATTCACTTCTAACACTTTGAATTTCTTATTTCAACTTATGACAAGTCAAATTCAATTTCAAAATCCATTTACTCATTCTTTTTCACAAATTCTCTTAAAGACTTCTTATATTCAATCTCTCCTGACTCATTCATCTTTGAGTTTTAAACAACCTTAATCTTTCCTTAAGCCTTTCTAACACCCAAAGACCAAAAGCTAACCTTCAAATTAAAGGTACAATCAACTTGTAAGAAACTCACCTTTAAATGGAGCTCACGGTGAAGAGGAGGAAGAAGAAGTTCCAATTCTCCAGATTTTTCCTTTCTTTTCCTTTCTCATTCCACGTGGTTAAATCCCTTATAAAGGGAAAATAAAAATCTTTCTTATGAAAAGACTATTATACCCTCTCATCTTTCAAACTTTATTATTTAGTCTTCTTTAAAAAATCCCAATTAAGTCCTTGAACTTTTTAATTTTTCTAAATTGATCACCAAATTTCAAAAACTTACATTTTAGTCACTAGCCCTGTTTTTGGGATGTTACAACTTATTTGTAGAAGCGGCGTAGAAAGCATTGTTTGGTTGAAGTAGTGTGATTCAATACAATATTCGAACGAAATATGAACTTGAAATAAATCAAGTTTATTTTATTAATTAATTCGTTTTTATTCAAATGATGCAATGCATTTTTTTAATAGTAATTTTTCTAATGCAAATGCAAATATTCAATTTATATTTGATTTGTATTTTTTAATAAATTGAGGGGGGAATATTCTTTTTAGACAAGAAATAGAAGGGATAGCGTTACCGTCGGAGGATGAGAAAATCTCAATATTTCTTTTCTTATTAAAATATTTTCTTAAATAAATAATTCGAAGCAAATTAATTAAATTTTCATAAATGAATCATATTCTAACTTTATATTCGATTTATAATTTCCAGTACCGCAAGAAAATGTAAGCGACTAAGTATCAATATTTGGGCGTTGTGGGGGTGCTTATCATTCTCCAAGCGTAATCGACTTCCAAATCCTTAAAAATGAATTTTTGGATAATGCAAACTAATTTTTTTTGTCTTAAAAACGATTTTTCTTAAAATTGTTTTAAATGACATTTTTAGGTATTCAACCTACCTAACTCAAATGTCGATGGCGACTCCCATTCAATTTAATTCAAATTAATTCAAAAATCCCAAATTTTACAAATAAAGTGATACTTGTTTTTTTTAAAATGATATATAATTGTTTTAAAAAAATGGTTATGACACCCACCCCATTTCTTTTTGGCAAGACAATCAGGAGCTTCTAGAGTCATGGACTCAACAAATCGGAATCTCAACGCAGTCATTAGAATCACTGCACTGTTCTGATGATATAAATAGTCTCTGAAGCATCAATCTTTGAATTTTCTTTGGGGGATTTCACTTTGACAGAATCAACAATAGAGGTGTTTTTATCCATGCTTTCCTTTCAAGCTTGGAAGAGATAGAATGCGCTGTGAAGGTTATCATAGCTCAGTACATCCTTAATAAGTTCTTTCTCAAATTTTATTGAAGTTCCTTCATAATTTGTTTAATTTCTTTTATTCTATATTTCTATTGCTTTGCTTATCCATTACAACACTTCAGGACCGCTCTTAAGACTTCTGTTCTTTACAGGCGGTGTCATAACAGCCCAACAAAGCTCCCAAATGCTGCAACGTTGAAACAAAAACTGGTCGAGTCAATGCAAACAAGGTTAAGAATAAGATCTCAGAGACCGCACATGAAGCTAACAAGGTTAAAGACGAAGCTTCAGATAAGGTCAGAGACATGGTTTGGGAGACTGCACATGGAACCAAAGCCAAGGTGGCAGAAACAGTACATCCAATAAAGGGGGCTACAATAATATCAACTGTTGAAAGGCTATATATAAAATAATCATCTTAGGATTCAAGTAATTAATGGAAGTGGTAAATGGTAATGGCATTTACAGTGAAGCAATGACTTTATGTTGAGCATACAAACTTCTCGGCCAAAAAGCAATGAAGATAGATTTCAAAAGTTCCTCTAGAAAACAGAAAAGAAGTTTGTAATTCATAAACTGGTCTGATTTATTTTTTATATGGTCACTGGTACAGTATCGTTTCATGCAATATTGTTTCTATTTACGGGTTGGAAAAAAACCACGAGACAAAGCAGCAGCTAGCTAGTCCATGAATGATGAAACAAAATATCAAGCGAGGTATAGTATCGTTTCATGCAACGGCTTACAGTATTGGGTTACCTTTGTTGGGGCACTTTTTGTGGCACAGGAAAAGATCGATCTCAAGCTGGCCAGAGATGTTTCAATCTTTTAATCTTCTGTCATCCCTTTTCATGGTTTTAGTTAATGCACTGTAGTTGGTGATGGCTGCATGGTATTAATTACTTGAAAACTTACTCTTTCACTTTCCCTTTTGTTGAAGATAACTCACCAAACAAGTATTTGTTGAAGAAAGTTTCAGAGTTGTAGCTCCCCTGATTTTTAAGGAGAGAGAGGAGAGAGAGGAGAAAAAGAACGAAGGAGAAGAGATTTTTTTTCTTTAAATTTTCTCTAAAACTCTGGTCAAAAGCTTTAGAAAGTCAAATGTGTAAAAAAATAGGGACAGGACACCAGTTTAACGCGCCGTATCAGTATTTTGTTACTGCATTTACAAATGTTAACGGAGAGGTCAATTTATAACAAATCGATAATGTTAGTGATTAATTTATTATTTTTGAAACTTCAGTGAATAAAATAAAAACTTACTCAAATATTAGTGGCCATTTGTGTAATTTACCTTTGAAGAATCGGATTAAGCCAAGGCCTTCAAATGCTTCTTCGAGAAAAGCGTTTAATTATATTTTAACACAGGCAAGTTCACGTGTGGTTTGATGGCTTGTTCTATGAAAAACATATGGCTTGTATGTTTGATTCATGTCAAGAAACTTCAACAAAATTCAACAGAAAGATAACCAAAAGAGTGGTGCTAAAATTAAGGCACTTCAAGGGCATTAGTATAAGCTAAAAAAGAACACACCATGTTTGAAAATTTTGGGAACCCTTCATATATAACTTATTAGGGTATTGAAAAGATTGTATGTACTTGGTGTTTAGTACCTTTAGGATCCTGATCTGCGATCACTTGTACACTATTACCAATTTGCAACAGTAAGTAAATTTGGTTGAACACAATAAGTTTACCAGGCAGCTGAGAAAAAAATCAGACAAAAACAGTGCATTCTACTTATTGTGTGTTGTTATCGGAAAACTTGTTTCCCTGTTCATTTTACAGCAAGTGCTCTATTTCTCTCTCCAATATCATGCTGCACATACTGTATCTAATAGCTCACTGGTAGAAGCTTTTTGTTAACCATGGGCAAGTTTTTGATAGCGTACTGATAATGTCTGTCCACAGTTGTTTGCTAATGCAGTTGTAATCTGTTTTTTAAGAATTTATTTTAGATTGATATTGAAATAGTTTGATTTCTTGTTTTGTTTGCTATAGATTTTAAAACAGTAGTGAGTGGAAGAATTACCCCAACTTCAATGGTTTTGCTGGGGCTGGCTTAATTGCAGACGAACAGGTGCATGCAAATCATACCGATTGTTGAAAGTATGACTTGGTTGGGAGCTTCTTCTAGCTTCATTTGCTTCCCTTGTTCCATAAACCTGAGATTCAACATTGTTCAATTTAGAGTATTCATTTGCTTAAATTTCAATACTATTTTAACTCAAATTCTTCTATTAATCCTTGTACTATATGCAAGCTGTGGATTTAATCCGTATATCAAGGTAAAAAGAGGAAGTATAAGGGATATCAAATTATCTGGTCAACTACCTTCTGAAGTTCAATATTTTCTTGGTGCATGAGGTTTACTTTCTTATACAGTTCTAGATTCTCCTGATGAATGAGGTGTCCCTGCAATTTATTAAATTGAAGTTACTCAACCAATAAAATATCTGTTAATGTAAAGCTGAAAGGATAAAATGGTGGGGGTGAGGCAAAACTTTCAAAGAAACCTTGTGGTTTAGCTCTTTGATTTCATCTGTTAGTATTTGGTCCTAGAAGGAAAAATAACATGAGAGCAGTTGCAGTAAATATTATCATCTCATCTTAAATGAGATAGGCAAAAATTTCATCTAAATCTGAAGTTCTCGTACCTTTTTTGTGCGGATACCTTTCAAACTCATTTCTAGTTGGTTTTCCAGATTCTGTAGATCTTTAACACTTAAACCAGATAGTTCTTCTCCCATCAGTTGCCTGAAACAAAAAGTAATACTCAGTAGAGAAAAGAACAACGACGAGTAACTTTTGAAGAAGAATGTCAAAGAAAGAAACTGATTGGAACACCATTTTCTTCTTTCGAAGTTTAACGTTTTCTAGTGAACAATCGTCTTCTTTGCATTTCGATAGTTTGTGATTACGGTAGGGTATTTGTTTAGTAGTTGAAATTTTCGTACCATAAATTTATTTGGTGTATGCAGAGAAATAGCCAACTGCACTAAATTTAGAATCTCAAGTAGTTCTGAAGTGTTTTAGCAGTGAAACAGTGGATGTTTTGTGTACCTGTGATATTCTTGCAAGTAATGTAGTTGTTGCCTCAAGCTTGCTGCCTCACTTTGCCAAAACTATTCAATTACAATTCAATTATTAAATAAGAAAACCATATTCTTGAATGTGATGTATGATAGTTACAGTACCAGTGATGTAAATTCTGAAGTATGTGTCAAAGAACTGTGAAGATCAATGACAATACAATGTCAGTTAGTACTTAACTAGCTTAACTTGTTTTACTGTTGGGTTCATGTAGCAACTAGATTAAATTAAGTGGCCTTAATACTCATATTGTTGCCATTAATTTGCAGGCTTAATCTAGCTGTTGAATTCTCACTTGTTTTGTTAAAAGGCTTAACCTAGGTTCTTCTTTGATGCAAATGAAGTAGAATAGAGATCAGTAATGACAAAATTTGATATATGGACAGTATGGATACTTCCTAAGCTCTTTAAACAATCAATGATTTGAATTTTATTGATAATAAAGATTATGAAGATTACTAAGGGTGTTTGTGATTCATAAAATGGGAATAAAATTCTCGAAATGTAATTTTATTGAGAATGTAATAGTATTTTTTGTTTATTTTACAAGAATGTAATATAACAGTGTTTGGTTTGGAGAATACAAAATTATCTAGAAGTGCAATTTTTTTTCAAATTGTCTATATGACATAATTTTTTTTCTTAATATCGCTTCAATTTTGGGAGTGCAACAGGTTAACACTACTTGGCTGTAGGATGAGATAAGGAGAAGGGAGCCTCATGTCCCCTGACAAACGGTAATTTGGTTCTCTTTATACGTTCCTAGGCATTCAATTATTGCCTGGTTAGCCATTTTAGACAGGCTTAGCAAGAGAGATAGACTTTTGAGAATGAATATTTTGGTTGATCCTAATTGTGTCATTTGTAGTGCTGCTTTAGAGACTAGAGATCATTTATTTTTCAGCTGTCCATTTTCATGTTGCGTTTGGAGGGAAGTTTTGAGACTTTAAGGTTTGAGAAGAGATGTTACAGATTGGAACGAGAACTTACTTAGGTTGTTTCTTGTTTGAAGGAGAAGTCTTTGTTGGTTCTTATTTTGAAACGTGCTTGGTGTGCTCATAACTATTATGTTTGAGAAGAGAGGAATTTTCGCCTATTCAAGGATATATCTTGGACTGTGGAGGAATTTTCTTAATAACTTAAACTCATAATATTAAGTTAAAAATATTTACATAAGAAATTATAGAACTATTTTCATTGCACAATCTAAATATTTACTATTGTCATGCTAATGCTATTGTTTTTCATCTCTTGGAGATTTCAAAAGTAAGGTAATTTCAAAACTTTTAAGTTTTAACAAGTTTATTATCAAACAAAATTCATGTGAATTTGAATAATTTACAGTAATTTTATTATTATAAGTTTGCAAGTAATTTTTTTAATAAAAAATAAAGTTCAAACTTGGATCAAGTTTATATCATCTCAATCAAATTTATATTATAAGGTATATATTTAGATAATATATTTAAAATAATATTAGAGACATTATAAAAATATTAATAAAATACATTAAATATTAAAGCACCACTTAAATATACAACACTATTTAAATATTTAATAAATTTACGCATTAAATAACTAGCTATCTAACTAAAAATATACAATAAATCTACCAATACAAAGAAAACCTATTAATCCAAGGGCAATTTTATCCAAAATGGTAGAAATTGAGAAATACCTAAGAAATAAGTAGGAATAACATTTCCAAAATCTTGTCAAGAAATGCTATTGTTGGTAATAATCTTTTCCCTACCCGATGAGAATTATGGTAAACCAAACATTTGAATGAGATTCTAAAAAGAAATGCTAATGTTAGTAATGATATTTTCCATGAACCAAACATCTCTTAAGACTTATCCTTTCTTAGCGTAAAAGACTTTTAAACAAACAAGATTTCTACAAGATTGATTCTAACACTCCTCTTCATGTTGCTGAATGAATATCTGTCTTTCCCAGTTTGTTTATAATTTCTTGAAAAACTTTGTTTATTAGTCCGTTCGTAAGTAATATGTCAACTGATCCTTGGTAAAGATGAATGAAGTATAAATTAGACCTGCAACATCCCAAAAGTCGGGTCAATGACCAAAATAGAATTTTTGGTAATTTAGTGACCAATCTCAGAAAAGATTAAAAGTTTAGGTACTTAAATGAAAAGTGTTGATGTTGGATTTAATAACAAAGTTTGGAAATAATAAGGGTATTATGGTTATTTTTCAGGGACGATTTTTATTTCCCTTTATAAAGGGTAATAACCACGTGGAAAAGGATAGATTTCTCCAGAGTTCTATTCTTCTCCTTTCTTCTTCTTCTTCACGTGGAAGCCAAGAGCAAAGTTGGGTTCATGGTTATTTAATTTCTTGATGAATTCAAGGTTGGGTGGCGATCATTAGATGATAGAAAAGCTTAAGGAAAGCTTAAGTTAGCTTTTAAACAAAGAATGAAAGAGTTATGGGAGATTGAAGATTTGAAGTTTTTGAATGAAATTTTGGAAAAGAGTTGATAAGTAGAATTTGAAGTTAAATTTGACTTGTCAATAATTGAATTAAGAGATTTGGAGTGTTAGAATTGAATTTATAATATTTTGAAATTTGAGTATGATTCTTGAATTTCATAAGGAGAGGAGGATATAGAAATTAAGGATAGGATAAATGAATATAGATGAGGATAAACATGCATATGTGAGTTAGGATTATAAAAGGGGATGAAATATGAAGTTTTTAAGCTAAGTTAAAGTAATTTTGGTGCTGCAAATGTGATTTATGGGCTAGGGGTATCGGTACCCATTCAACAGGTACCGATACCCTCTTAAACGAAAAATTACATAATGCAATGAGGGTACCAATACCCTAAGGAGGGTATCGATACCCCCTAAAGGAAAAAGGTGAATATTGGTTTATTAAGTTTGTTTAAGTTGCTAGTATCGAATTACAAGGTGTAGGCATCTAATAATTTCCTTAAAATGTGTAATTATGTAGATACATAGCCTAAACGAGTTTCAGAACCATTGACAAGTAAGATCAATCGAGAAGAGATAAAGGATCGGTATTGACTAGTAAGGCCAGGTGAGTGCAGATTCATTGGTATACAATATGTATGGAAGTAGGACTTGCGATGAGTCTATTTCCAATATTTGATTTCATGATTCTATGAAAGCTAATATGGATGATATGATTATTATATATGCATGAATATATGAATATAGTTATAGGTGTTATATATGATTTTGTGTGCTATGGGTATAAGTAATTGTATGATGATAATGTATCAATTATATGAATTAGATTTAAGCGAATAAATGGAAAGTGAGATAAACAAAGTATGGTTGATCTATAGGATAATATAAGAATAGCTCATAAGTTATATGATAAAGATGGAACATGTGATTTAAACTGCAAGTTAAAAAAAGAATATGATATCTATAAACATAAGATAATTCAAGGGTAAGCGATATGATATGAATGTGTTATATGTATTGTAGGATAAAGATATATGAAACAATATAGGAATATTAATTGAGTTCCTTGATAATAAGTCATAAGGTTACATGCATAGGTAATATAAGTTAAAAGATGAGAATATATAAGAATATTAAATAAGTTATGAGATAAGTTATATGACATTGATATACAGACTATATAAAAGTATACACCTGAATACATGTATAAGTTTATATGTTATTTTATATGCTATGGGATATACCCATGAACATATGTGATATGATATAAGCTATGAGACATGATCTACGTGATTACATGTATATGTGATGCATGTTAAATGATATGAAATAGATGTTTACACATACATTTGGTATGTGATAGAAGAGAATGATATTTGAATATGGGAAATAATATGAAAGAGAATGCCCATGATATGTGAAAGGAGAGCTAGAGGTATAGTTAGCATGCCAAGAGTCGAGGGTTACCTATGTCTTTCGAGACATATGGACAGTGTTACCTATGTCCTTCGGGACATATGGACAGGATTACCTATGTTCTAAGGAACATATGGGCAGTTTACCTAGGTTCTTTAGGACCTATGGACAGTTGCCGACGTTCTTTATGACCTCTGGCTAGGTCATTCGGGACATTTATACGAGTTGTGGTGACAGCATAGTGCACAACCTCAATATAATCACATATCTATAGTTCTCACATGTGCACATGGGCTAATAAAGAGATAATCCTGAATATAATGTAAGTACTATGATTTGTGATATGAATTGTAGGAATTGTTATATGTGTGTGTTATGAGTGATTGCATCTGTGATAAGTATGAATTATAAGATATACGATAAAAGCATAAGAGATTATACGAATAAGAGATAAGAAATATGAATGATAATAGGGTAGGAATATGATAGAAATATAAATGATGACATGTATGTATGTATGTACTTACTGGATAAAAAGTATATGAGTTGCATGATTATGATAGCATAAATTATTCATGTATGGTTAGTGTATGTAAATTATATTAGATGAGTTTTTATGCCACACTAAGTCATAGACATAGCGTGTTATTGTTTCACACGTAGGTTCCGAAGAGCGAGAAGAAAAGCTAAGTGGAGCAAGACATGTCAGCATCTCCCTTACAAAGTTCAGATCATAAAAGAGATGTTTTAGATGTATTTTGTTATTTTGAACATAGTTGGCATGTACTAATAGATTGAGTTGAATATGCTCTGATATGTTTTGTAAATGAATTAATTAATTAATATAAAATATTCATTTTCCTGAAATGTGAATTTAAATTTTTGTTAGTTTGTAAAGGAAAATGCTTTGAAAGGTCAATGTGACACCTCAGACTCGGATCCGGGTCGAATACGGGTTGGGGTGTTACATTTAATGTTATCAGAGCTAAGGTTTAGCCGATTCTAGGCTTAAACTGAAGGTAAAAGAGTTTTAAAAATGTGTACATGCCAACATAGAGTGAAAATTTCTGATCTGATAGTGTAAGGAGTATGTTGTCTTGCTAATAGAATAAGATTTGTATGATATAGTAGAAATTGATTATAGAAATTGTCGAAGTGAAT